AGGTAGAGAACACCGGGTTGACCAAAGTGCAAAAACTTGGCATCGAACACTATGATGACCTCTCAGCCTCCATACCGCGCGATGAGACGAAGACCCTGGAGAGCATCGTCCTGGCGGCCTCTGCACAGATTGATCCCGCAGTACATCTCGTGGTAGGCGGGAGCTACCGTCGCGGCGCCAAGACTTCAGGGGATATCGACTTCATCGTTTCAAAGGCCGGAACGAGTTCGTCAGGTGAATTGAGTGGATTCCTCAAGGAACTCTTAAACCGTCTCACGGCTGACGGCTTCATCGTTGCCACGCTGGTGGAGTCCTTCCACGGCGGCATACCTTGGCAGGGCTGTTGCATACTACCTCTTACCAAGGGAAAAGTCCGGCGTCGATGGCGCCGCATAGACTTCCTCCTCGCGCCCGAATCTACTTATGGGGCCGCGCTACTATATTTCACCGGGAGTAATCATTTCAATGTGCAGGTGCGTACCCTGGCGCGAAAGAAGGGCATGACCTTAGGCCCAGACGGACTCTTCATGGGAACTGCCAAATCCAAAGGGAAGCTGGTGGAGGCTAAAGATGAAGGAAAGATATTTGAAGCTCTCGGCGTGGATTGGAGGGAGCCGACTGATCGGTGGTGGTGGCTAAATGCACATCATTGAACACTCAGGTGGCGATCGAAACTACGTTATAACATTTCTTCCGGAGACTTGCATCTGTGAGAGGCTCGATTCCAGAGGCCCTGTTGAGGCTTATGGGACACATGAGATTGAATTGGCGACGATTGTGCTGGAAGGTAGTTTGTGAGGAGATAATGGTACAGGGTGAAGAATAGTCACGATGAGGGTCATAAGAAGGTAGCAGTAGAAGAGTAGAGTAGTCACATAAGAGAAGAATCCGGCTCTACCTTCCCAACAGCAGAATAAGGGGGGGGAGGCCCCCCTTATATAGCTCATATATCTGATATAGCCACCCCCTGGTGTCCTAGATCCTGACACTGTTATATGATAATTGCTTTTCAGGTATCACAATTGTTGTAAACGAGGTATCTAGAAGGAATCTCACATCAAATCTTACGGATTGGGCCCTACGACTGCCGAGGCCGTAGACGGATTATATTGCAATGACTGTGATCCCTGGAAGTGGTCAAACTGGAAGCCTACTTCGCTACCACCCTAATGCGCCGCTCTGCCATTCCCTGCAAGGGTATGACACTTGATTCCTTGTAGCGCTATTCCTCGCTCTCTCTCCTGATCCCCCTCTCTCTGTCCCTCTCTCTGTCCCTCTCTCTGTCCCTCGCAGGGATCTGGTCTGAAGAACCAGAACGCATGGGTGAATCTCTCCCGCTCTTTCGGGCTCAGAGGTATTTTCTCATCGAGGCCTCCCTTGATGGCTTGATCCAGGAAAATCACCGCGTTAGAAGCCTAATAGCGGTAGGCAGCAAAAAAGAACTGGATATGGGCCGTGAAGCGTGTTCGCCAGATTTTAAAATAAAATTATTTATATATATTATTATAACTTTATTTTATTATAAACTTTTTTTATAATCGTTTTTTTTTGTTATTATTATAATTTTTATAAAAAATATATTTATATTTAAAATAAATTATAAAATAATTTAATTAAAAAAAAAAGCTTTTAAAATATATTTATTTAATAATTATTATAATAATATTATATAATTATAATTATTATAATAATATTATATAATTATAATATATAAATAATTATTAAATAATTATAATATTAATAATAACGATTATTTTAAATAGCTTTATTTTTAAATATTCACGTTATATATTTAATTAAAAGGGACGGATTATTAATAATTTAAAGGCGCTAGTAAGTTATTATATATATCGGAAAAATAATAGGGCTAAAGCCTAAGTATTAACACTGCCGAAAATCAAAGTGTAGAATCAAGGTGCAAATAAGATTTGTTCAAGGTGCGCCCAGCAAAGCTCATATAAAAGATGGGCTCTGCCCATCTTCTTCTTCTTTGTCTTTTGATCCATAGCTTCATCTTGAATACACACTGCTCGCTGCTGCTCACACGGATCACTTCACCCTGCAAGCTCTGGTTCTCCCTGTTCCACTGTTACGCTCCGTGATATCCCCCTCTGTCTATCTGTCGCAAGGGTCTGGCATGAAGTACCAGAATATCTGTTGAAATTTCTCCCTTTGCTTTGGACATAGATTGAATGTATCATCCAATTTTCCGTTGATCGCTCGATCAAGGAATATCACTGCGTTTGACGCCTGGTATCGGTATGCCGCGAAATGGAATTGCACGTGAGCGGTGAAGCGATTTCGCCAAACTTCGGTGATCTTCTCTGTCTCGAACTTAAACCCGCATTTCTTGAAAAACTCTTGCATCAACTCGACGGAAATCAGATCGGCTGGACCGCCGATCTCTAGTACCCGAGAGTACCAGCTTGCCGGTTGTGAAGGCGAGGGGTGTAGGTTCATGACCACCAGGGGTACATGATCGCCGAAGACGAATCGACCTTGCGCAACGAATGTGAAGAATTTGTGAAGGGTATCCCGGTCCCAGAATGCGATTTTCGCGGCGGCATTCTGGTGGGCCTCGGTCGGGGCCATTATGTTGGAGGCATATATCTTGCCAACGCCGGAAATCTTGCCGAGGAGATCCCTCAATGTGCAATCGGCTGGGAGGTTCCTGATGGACACAGCACAGTTGTCGGACTTGGGTGTCTGACTCGCAATAAGGTTCTCGGCGTATAGGTTTCCCTTATAGAGCGCCATTCTATAGGCCATTTATATTAGTAAACAAACAGCTAGGTTGAATGACAGTAGGGGAGCAAGATGGAAAAAGAAAATGGAAACATACTTTCTTTGCGCGTGGTGTTCTGTTGTTGTTGTTCTTGTTGTTCTTGTTGTTGTGAGTGAGGAACTGAGTGGTAGGGTAAGTGAGAAACTGAGTGGTAGGAGTAGGAAGATACTGAGTGGTAGGAGTAGCAAGAAAAGAGAGGTCTTGCCTACTGTAGTTTGATGGAAAATATTGCCTAGCAACAGGAGCACCAGTAGCAGAGCAACAGCACAGGTACGTAGGCAGGAACACAGTAGCTACATAATTGGTAGCTTAGCTTCCTTCCGCGGTTGTTACCTCTAGGACCGCAACTTCCTGAATATGACCCGGAGAACTTATGTAGTGTGATGCTTGATTTCAAATCTATTCAGTCTGAACTCCAAGCAAAGTAGATATCTGTCTCCAGAATTTATTTATGTTTTCTAACCTTGCCTTCACCTATGAGTCCGTTTCGGGTACATTTGAAACCTGGTTACCGTTCTAACATTGCAGAAGAGTCTGAAGAAGCCTTCAACACATGATTTGCTTTTCAAAGGGAGGTCGCCGAGTGTGCAATTGGCTGGTAAACCTCGAATGAATACGGCGCAGTTCTCTGACGCTGGGGTATCGCTCGCAATACGACATTCGGCGTGCAGGTCGCCTTTATAAGGCGCCATTCTAGGCCAATCATGTCATTAGCCAGACAGCTAGGTTGATGACAGTAAAAGAGCAAAATACAACATACGTGGTTTTTAAGGTTGCGTTTTGATTGATTGTGATGATGTTTTGGGGGTTGGTGTGCAAGAGCGTGATATTGGTTGATGTGGGAGGGTAATCTTGTGGTAGGAGTCTTGGAGAAAGACTGGCTGAATTTTATTGGTGGCCTGAGTTCTTGCCTTGTGTGGTCTGGAGAAAGGTACTGCCCAGCAACAAGAGAATTAGTAGCAGTGCAACCACACATAGGTCTACAGTAGCTATCCTTCCACATAATTGGGAGCTTAGCTTCCTTCCGCGGTTATTACCTGTACCTACAGGATTATGGAGCACTGTCACTTCTTAACGATAACCCGTGAGAACTTGCAGAGTGTGTTGCTTCACCACAATACCAGTTCAGGTCGAATGAACCCCATGCAAAGTAGATTTCCGCTTTTCTCTCTCTTCTTGTCAAGGTTGGAATACATGTATATAGATGATAGAAGCGCCTTGAACCCTTGCCTTCACCTATAAATCTATTTCAGGTATATAGGAAGCAAGGTGACCGTTTTGAGATTCAACTAGAGTCTGAAGAAGCCTCAAACTATCGACTTACCCTCTGAGGGGAGTACATCAATAAACAAAGACCTAGCTAAATATTTCAAGTAAATACAAGCTTTTTTAGATTGATGATGGCATTTAACTATCACAAGACCGTGCATGGGAGGGCGCAAGAGGCATCCCACAAGAGTATGCTAGAATTACGCATCACTTATTCAATCAGAATATGACAAAAGCACTCCATCTTTGGGTAAAACTGCTTGCTATCATGGATACAAACAGCTAGTTACGCACTCAGCTTTCAAACGTTGCGCTCCTTGCAGCGTTGTGTCAAGTCAAATTTTAGGGGAAATAATATGCGGAGTATGTATCTTGATAGTTAGTTGTCTTGCGCAATTGCATTACATATGTGAAGTATTTGTCACAAGCAGAGAGACGAGAGAAGATGATGCCACATAATGTCAAGCTGTTGTTTCCAATATTGACGGCGGGGTTGACTGCGATAATATTTGTCAGTCCAATGGTCTTCCCTTCAAGTGCAATAACTCTCGTGGCTCACGCTCATCTGCACATTTTGCAATAGAATCAATGACTCAACCGATAAATAATCCTTCCGGCAGATTCTAATGGCAACTGGTTCTCATATTCAAGGAGCCCTTTTATAATGAGTTCCATTCGAGGAGTAACTATGAGTCACGTGACTGTCCATCCAGCTCCGTGTAGAAAGAGAAGCAAAAGAGGTGGTAGGGGGGAAGAATGTAGCAGAGGCGGGGCAGCTGCAACAGCTGCGACAACAGGGACAGCATATTGCTTTGCAACGATAAGGCTGACTGACATGTGCAAACATGTTGCCCACAGGATATGCCATATAAGCAAGGGAGGGGGAAGTCGACGAGGAAAGGGGAACACAGAAGTCCAAAGAAAGAAAAAAAAGAAGAAAAAAAAACACCCCACCTCAGACTCGAACTGAGAATCTTCGGCTATCGTTACTAACTTAATAGGAGGCCGACGAGTTAACCATTTCTCTAGTAGGGCTGATATTGAAAAATGGGTTGGTAATTTGAGCATATATGAGCCGGAGAGCAAATGTCGGAAAATGATTGGAAAAAGAAATGCCATAGTGGTTCGTAGTGACATCATCCTAACAAACGCGCTGCCCACGCGATGCAAAGGAGCCTTATGGCTGATAAAGTGATTAGAGGGGACATGCATGATCCCGCTCGCTCCCGTGTGAAGGCATCCTGTTAGGCAGACCTGGCTGACACGTCACAAAAGGTACCGGATGCGCCCAAACCCCCTACCCACTCACTCCCTTCCGCATCCTTGTCTGTTTCACGGGAGAGCTGAGCTCGAAACAATACGTAGTAAATAATACCCTCAAGCTTGCTACATTTTCATGTTCACAATGCATGGGGTAGATCGAGATCTAGCATAGGTAGAACTTCGAAATGTCCACGGAGGCTATCAACACAATCACCCTGCTGAGAATTGTTCCAGGGCGGCATAAAACGTATCGCAAGGCTGGGGCTCGTGCGGCAAACGCTATATCTGGAGTATTGATTGGCCCACCATCACCATGGCTTTAGTAGATATTGATAGAACCTGCGTTGTTATCTACCTACCTATCTACTTATCTGGACACCTTACTTCACACTCCTGCACCAGTTCTGTTGTTGGGTTCAGAGTATTGAACCTTAAAATCGTGGGAGAGAAAAAGGTGGCTCTCACAGAAAACTTTATCGTGTTGCTTACAGCAATAAGATAGCACTCTTCAAAAGACTCGAACTGGCGAGCCTCGGTCGTTGACTGAGCAAGTTCTGGACGCGGTTCTTATTGTTCAGGTATGTCTCCGCCCACCCTATGGCCGCAGTAGGTGCCGCAGTAGGTGCCGCGGCGGCGGCGGCGCCGGGGGGGGCCCACTGATGAAGCGACTCCATCAGACGTATCTGATATCACGAGCCAGCGACCCAACCCTCGGCGAGGCTAGACTTTGGCAGACCCTTGAGAACTGGAGGGAACAGACGGACGTACGAAGTGAGGCAAAGAAGACACGACAACTCCCGCACGAACAACTCGCACCGCGGGGGGGGGGGGGGGGGGGGGGGTCATACCACCGGCGTTAGCTATCGTGCTGGCTTCCATATTCAGATGGGGTTTTCCAGGGGTCATTTTGGTGCTGGTCGTCCTCGGATGACTGTCGAGTATTTGATGGTACAGGGAGTTGTGCAGCCAGCACTGCTGAGTCTTCAGGAGAGGCTTGGGCAACTGGCGCCCCGAAACTCAAGTAACAGTCAATAACTTCTGAAGATATGCGTACTTCAGCACAGCGCTCTATGCGAAAAGCATTGGGATCCATACCATATACATAGGTCCTACGAATCTAGTCTCGTTCCAGCAAAAGCACTCGTTCACCCTACCAGCAGCAACAGACTCGTCTTGACTAAAGAGCTTGATGATCTTGTTTGTATATTTCGTTTAGTATTGCTAAGCTTCGACTATCATTCATATCGTCAGATCATTTCTCGTCAAAATTACAGAGCCAGTCCCAGCCCCTCTCCAGAAACACTTCCCATCCTTTCAGCAAACCGACTTCATGCCTGTCAAATAATCACCAACTCATCGCAAGGGTCTCTTTGGAAGAAAATCATGGATTTCTCCCACTGGTCTCGCTCGGAGGCGCTGAGGTTGACGCCCGGGATATCTCCGCCTTTCCGAGCCATGTTGATGAACGCGTACGCCCTTTCTGCCTGGCCCCAGTACGAGGCGAAATACAGTATTATGTGCGTTTGCCACGTGTTCTGAAACACCGTCACCGCCGCTGTCAGTTCGTAAGCGAACCCACAGGCGTTGAAGAAGGTCCTTAGATATGCCTCTCGCATGATACCGTGGGGCGCTCCGATCTCTATCACACGGGTGTGGTGGCTTTTCGGCTGCGAAGGGTGAAAGCGCCGGTTCGTCATGATGTATGGGCAGTGGCCGCAGACCCAGAGTAGTCTTTGTTCGACGTAGTCGAATAGACGTTTTGCACCTTCCGAATCCCACATGATGATCTGGGCTGCCGGGGTGGGGTGAACCTTGTTCGGTGGTAGTATGTAACTGGCAAACACCTTGCCGACACCACTGATCCCGACCAGGAGCTCCCCGATCGTACAGGACGCTGGTAGACCACGAATGGTGAGGGCACAATTCCCCTGGGGAGGAACGCCGCGAGTGCTCTGGGCGGCATGACACTGGTTACCCTGGTAGGCCTGGGGAGTCATGCTGTTCCTTGGCTGCTAGCATTGCTTGTCAGAATCTTGTACAAAGTCAAATGGGTAAATGAGTCTACATACAAGCTCTCGTACCTGTGGCTCCTGATACCTACGACGGCCGAATCCATTTTGTCGCTCGTAGGGGGCTAGTGACCTTCGATACAAGGCCGGGTATATGGGGCTCCTGACAATGACGATAGCCGGGTTCATTTTGTCGCTCGTTGGGGGATGCTACGTATCAAAAAGGGACAGAGGGTGCTAATGTCGAATGATAATTGTTGCTGTAAGTGTTCCGTCGTGGGGATGAAGATGTTTTGGAGGCTGTCAAGGAGAAAAAGGTGCTGGTGGGATGCTGGGAAGCGAACAATGAACCACAGGAGAGTCTTGGGGTTCGAGACTTTATAGCTTAGACGCTGGTCTCTGCGAAGGCAACTGTTATCTGCGACATGAAATCACACGCAAAACGCCTCATCTATTCGTTCCATAGTATTGAACCTTGAAATCGTGAGAAAGGAAAACTTTATCGTGTTGCTTGCAGCATCGAGATAGCGCTCTTCACAAGACTGCCGCATTCATGTCTTGGGATGAAGTGCACCTTGATACATACAGAGTTTGGGTTCCACTAATTTGGGAGTTTATCTGGAGCTTCTCTGTAGTTCCTTCCTACACTCGTGGCTCATTCTTTCGTTGCGCAATGCGGTTGCTTCACACCGCCAGGATCAAGAAATTCAGGTAAGCTATCAAGCTCTTGCGGTTGCTCCGGGGCGTCTTGTGAAAAGTGCTATTTCAATTCTTCAAGTAACACGCTAAAGCTTTCCTACTTAATTGCAGCTATATTTTCTCTTCTTGTTCACGATATTAGGGTTTAAGAGTATATACTATATACTCGACCGGAAAAACCAACGCCAAACAAGGCCAAACTGCCATCAAAGCCTTTCACTATTTCGTTGCCGTCCCGCCGGAGAAGTATTCCACCGGATACGTGGCAATATTTCTATTGGGATTGTCTCGGTGAGCGGGTTGCTCACCTTCCCAGTACCCTGGGGTGGATAAATGGTGTCAAGTCTACCTACTCTTTCGTGGCGGTGTACTTTCGAGATACTGCGTTGGTTCAACGTAAGATCCACATGCCTTCTGATTCGTACGATCTCGAAAGCCGCTGCTTCTCACGCGTAGTGTCACAAACCAAGCTCAGTGTGTTAAAGTGTGTGTAACAAAAAGTTTATACCGGAAGAAGTTCTCCATAGCGCCCTTGCCGATCAAGCAATTGCATTGCCCATGGACAACTGTGACCCAAATTAAGGTTCACTATTCTGAGTTGCCAATAAGCCTATCATGAGTTCAGCCAGATATGACGGTGACGAGTGACTACTTAGACAGTTGTGGAAGAACTATAATCTGGTGATGGACTCTGAAATCCTGAGTTCGGTCATCACTAGGGATCTCCTTGTGGGGACCCCTAATCTAACCTTGTGGACTTTCCATCGTGCCACTCGCTTGCCGTACGCTGTGTACATTCCTGCATATCAATAACCACCAAGACTCTTCAGCTCTTTCTGGCATATTAACAATTGCAAACTGTTGCTTCAGCTAAGAAAATCTTTGGTTATTTGCAAACTCAAGAGACAACCGTCCCAGAACGGTGCTCACGGAAAGAGTCAGCGATTTTGATGCAGCCTGAGTGATATATCTCCCTTAAGATACTGGGTCAGCTCTGAAACTTGCGGTATGTTACCAGGTAAGTAGGTACCCAAGTATGGCACGGGGTTGACAAGTGTGTCGAGAGCCAAAGCCACGAGTATCGCCGGGGCACGGGGAGTCATAATCACCGCCTTGTAATCTAGTGGACACATTACAACTACGCCAATGGCTGATGCGAGATTTTTCTTTGGGAGATTCGTATTCTTCCAGAGTTGCTTGACTCTTGTGCCTGGTGGAAATAAGGTTAACTGTTAAGGCGGAGCCATGACTCCCAAATGCTGGATTCACAGCTTTTTTCTATGATTGTGTAGGTTCTCGTTATTGATCACAGTCACTACTCAAACTCAAAGATTCTCTGTATCTTTAATGATATGCAGAAATACTATTCATGTGGTGTTTATTTTTTGTTCTGCGCATCACCACGAGTCCTTGCTTAATCATACCTGAGCCAGCTAACTTCCGAGCATGTAGCTGATGACTGATAAAAACAGGGATGGCATGCGAAAGGAAGGAAACGCTACGTTCGTAAGTAGATGACACTTGGAAGCATCCAAGCCTCCAAGTACAAGTATCCCGCGTTTTTGGTCAATGCCGTCGCGTAGATACAGACTCCAGACTCCCAAACCCCAAGACGTGCTAACATTCAGTTGGGCTTCGCCTCGGTATGGTTTTTGCCCACGGCCAACGAGGCTCACTCAACCATAAGCCTGTACAAAGCCGCAATTCGCCAGCGAGTATGTACCGCATCTGTAGTATTCGTGACGTGGCTCAACCCTGGAATACGTTGAAGAACCTGGCACCAAGGTCTTTTCTTCACTCCAAACCTAGCACTAAGGGTAGATTTTCGTGTCATTGACAGTATGCGTAGGTGGCTGTCAGCTGACAAGCGAGTTCTGCGCCAGGAGTTTCCGCAGCTGGTCAAGCTGCTCTGCGCTGACGGTGATATTCTGCATTCCTACGCCCTCCAGGCCATTGGATGTGGCGACGTCTGGATTTGGATAATACCATGATGCGATAGCAATGATAACATATACGACCTTCGGACAGTTAGTTGATGCAAGTCATCCGCGTACCGGCGAGAGG